GAGAATTTCAAGATGGAGTAAATATTACAAGAGAAATTTACAAGGTAAGAGCATCTGCTGAAGGTGATTTTGAAAAGATATTAATGGAAAATTAAATTTGTTTTGTATGCTAGAAGTTTTTAAAATTAATAAATGAGACGAAAAAGATGTTAACAAAAGCAATGAAAGCAAAGGGTCAGATAGAACTGAAGAAGAAAACTGAAGGTTTTAAGATTGAGATAAAAAATATTTGCTTATCACTATGGCAAATATGAATTGTATGTTATTTCAAAACAATTATGCTAAGTCGTGAAATGAAAGTCAAAAGGACATGCTAAAATGGGAAAAACTACAATTGTCACTGGATCTCTGCGATAAAAATGAATGTTTTGCCTAGAATAATGTTTTTGTTTCGTACAATAACTGTTTTGACAACTGGTATACCATTTAAACAATTACCAAAAATAAAGGTCTATCTAAATTTGTATGGCAACAGAAAAAGACATGAGTCAAATATGTTACAAGGTGCAAAGGAAAGAGGAAGACTGGGTCTATTTGATCCGAAATTGTATTTTGCAGCTCATTGTTTGGTTTTGATGCAAGAATGGGAGTTGCTGAGAAATAAAAGACTTTTAGAGTTAGAAAAACATGACCTGAAATTTGGATGGCATGAATACTTGTGGTACAATAAAGTTAAGGTTGCAAAGATCATTGTATTAGACATCGAGGATATGGAAAGATACAATCCAGGCAGCACCTGAAAACATCTTTTTGGCTCTCAGCCCAAGAAGCATTTTATAGAGAAGAAATAACAAAGATCCACCGATAGAACAATGTGGAAACACTGTAGGTGGTTGAAAGGATTGAAATGTACATTATGTTACAATCTTAAAGAGAATTTTATACCGTTGATATATGACACCAGAAAAATTATCTAGAATGTGTGAAAGCACATCAAATTGATGTTGGAAATGTGAACAAGAATGGTCATTTTATCATACTTGGTGGATGTGGAAAAAAGCTATAAAATTTTGGGCACAAATACATATGGTGATTCAGAGGTTTTGAATCTCTGAATCAATCAATATCCATCCAAAATTAATCAATATTCATCTGAATCAATCAATATTCAACTAAAAGCAGAACTTGTCCTCCTGGGATAAACAGTTAGAAAGTAGCTGTGGAACACTATTTTTATATATAACTGCAACGAGATTATTGTATGCCAACAATGGAAAGATTTGGCAATAAAGGAATGATTGGCGAAGATGACAAAACTTGCTGAATAGCTAAACTGTCTTGTTTGATTACAGAAAAGATATTGTCTACATTTATTAATGCCTGGAAATCCCTTATGGACTTTTTGCATAAAAAGAAGAAAATGAACTTGTGATTTATGCTCCTGATGATTAAATAGGATTATATAGAGTTATGATGTAATCCTAGAGACAGGTTAAAAAAATAATATTGTACTTATATCTGCCATAAAGAAGATAGGAAACCACTTCTTTATATATTCCTTTTCATACATTTCTTCTTTCTGTACCTACCTCTTAGTTTTCTTTTGCACTTTTAGCTCTTTCTTTTATCTCTCCTTTTTTTCCTTCTCCTTTCTTGCTCTATTTTAATTTGTATTAGTTCTTATTGTTACTTCAATTTTTTAAAAAATCTCACATAGAAAATACTACGTAAACATTTCAAACACAATTGTGCGAGATTAGGTTGCAGAACATCTGTAACTAACCTCAGTGGGTTTGTATGCACCCAAGTTCTTTTATGTTAAGAAGACCCATTCTGGATGCCTTGCCGGAGAACCTTTGTCATAGCAGGAAAATCACTGCTAGATTATCACAAAGTTGAACCCTTCACATCAACATTCTGATCATAAACAAGAATACTTTTTGCCAAAATTCCCCTGCATGTAGAGCAGTGATGGGTTCCACTTATCTTCGCTACCTGTTTGCAACTGTGACCACGTGCGTGCAGCACTTCTGCGCATGTGCAGACCGTCTGTGATGACGTGCGGGTGGGCGGAGCCTCCTGCGCCCGCCGCTACTAGTTCGCAGGAACCGGGGCGAACCGGTCGAAACCCACCACTGATGTAGAGGCAATAAGCCTGATGGAAAGCTTCATGCTAAGCACTGAAATTTTATGAGGCTAGAACTTGATATCAAAGAATTACAGATTGCAGCATGTTAATGGTAGTAAAATAAGGGAAGTATTAGACAAAACTAAAGGCTCAGAAGAGACTAGCAACACACTAATTGGACTACTCCCCACCATTTTTTTCTTCCTCTTTGCCATCCATGTTTCTTTCCTTTAACCTACATTAAGTTGGTATGTCTCATACAATTTTAACACTCTAGATTTTTATCCCTTAAGTGGAGAAAATAGGAAGGAAAGGATATAAACAATGCTTTTTAATTAGTTAGATATGTTCATCTTCACCTCTAAAGAGATTCTTATTTGCCACCAAAACAGATCTGGTTCATTAATTAGGTCCCCCAAGGAAAGATATGGAGAAGTCAGTAATAGATTAGGTTGTTAAATACCATATGATAATATGTCTGTATAGATTAATGTATCAAATAAAAGGTGTTGATAACTGCAGGCAGACACAAAATACAAGTGGTTCAAAATTGTTTAGGTCCTTTTTATTTCTAGACAAAAGCTAAGGATAACCGATTCTGACAATATTCTGAAAACATGACCCCTCAATTTAAAACTGAACAAGACTGACAGCATGAATATTTTCCTAAAACTGTCAGATTATCCTGAAATATCATTGCAATCCAATCATAAATGAAGAGAACTATGTTTTAAATACATGCAGCTAATATAAAATATAAAGGGATTCCTTCATTTGATGGAGAGGTAGACAGTATAAAATTGTGTTTTAGTTTTAAATTTTTAACTAGTGAAACTAGCAAAGCATTATCTAGAAACAATTTAGTTATATATTCCAAAAATATCATCACATTTTGAAATTTTCTACTGCAGAAAAGGATTTTCTTCATTTTAGGATTTCCTAATACAAACATTTCTTAAATTCTGATAGCTGGGAAAAAAATAGTAAATGTTAGTCAATCTAAGTGGCAAAGACTTTTTTTAAAGCTTCAATAAAAACACTTCTTGCCTAAAATCCCAGGGCTGATATAGTACTGCTCTGATCATCCAATAATTTGTATTTACAGCCTGTCTTCAGTCTTCATTTAGATATAAATTTAGACAATGCTGGAAATTAAATATAAACACAGACTATGTGGAAAGGCGCTACTGTATGAGAAATAATAATTTCAACCTAAAGACAAAAGCTTTTTTAAATAGCATAACAGCAGTAGCTAATGGATTGTCTTTCCATCCTCTTTTAGTTAGAGCAGTACTTTCTCTAAAGACCAGATTTTTCCATGCCCTAATTATTTCTCTGATTACTATAACATAATCCATGTGTTATTAGCTTTGAAAGACATTACACCCTGAAGCAAAATATAGCACTGAAAATGGTTTTTCTGATGTAAAACAATAAATAACCAATCTTTATACACCATCACCAAGTCTTTGGTGGTTTACAATAGAAAGAAGAGCGCCTTAAAATTATAAATTCAAGTTAAAAGCCAGAATATTAACAATGAATTAAAGGGATCAACTATTAAGGGACTGTCTAAAAAGATGCATTTTCGACATTTTTTTTTAAAGCAAAGAGAACAATTATGCCTCTCAATTCAGCAAGGGATGCACTCAAAAATGTTGGAGCAGTTAATGTAAAAACTGTTCTAAGTTGTCATGAGTCATGCCTGTAGCAATAACAGGTGAACTTTCTTACCAGGCCTCAGTGAGGGATAGAAGGAATCAGAGACCATTCTCAAAATCCAAGGCACCTATGGCTTTAAAGGCAATTAACAATACTCTCTATCTCAGATGAAAGAAACTGACACGAGGATAAAATGCCTTTTTTTCGTTGTTTTCTTTTTTACCCTTAGAAACTGGTCTGGCTGCAAAGTTCTGTATAATTAACATTTCTGGACTAGATACAAAAACAGCCCTCTGAAACACATTTCAGTCATTAGCTCGAAGATCATCCATGTAGGTGCTCCAGTTTTAAAATCATTTTCTTTCAAGAACTGTTGGTTTCTCAAGTGAACCTGATTTTAAAAAATGCTCTGTCTGTTTCCGTACTTTAGGAAACAAAAGAGAGGTCTACATTTCATAGTCAACACCACTTCAGAAGGACTATGATCTCATCCCAAATAGGTAAATCTGTTATTTCTCTGAACGATGACCCTCAAATTAATTAATTTATTAAATTTATAAGCTGCCCATCTCACTGTCTGAGGTGGCTCTGGTTGGTTTACAATACAGTAAAAAATAAAGACATTAAAACAATTATAAATATAAAAATGGATTGAAATTGTAAAAGAGTAAATACCAGACTACAGAATACAGAAATGAATATTTTTGCCCTGTTTATGTTCAGCTTTTATTTATAATTCCTTCGCTACCTTCTAGACCACTAAATCAGACCAACTACTCTGGCTTTAACTGGTTCCTGGGCACAATTTAAAGTGCTACATATTTTAAGCATGGCCTTCCCCAATAAAAATTTATCTAAAACACTTTATCTTCGTCAAAAGCTTTGTTATTTTATTTAGAATATTTAGATGTGAAACTTCATTAGAGATCAGTTAAAGAAAGAAAACAGTATCTGAAGCATCATGGTTTATATGCTTTTGTCTGAGAGACTAGACAGGATATAAAAATGATTGAAATAAACTACAACTATTAGAGGTAATAAAACATCTTGCCAAGGATATTGAAATGTGAAGAGAATAACTATTGTATCAGTTGGATCTACTACCTTTTGTTCAACTCTTTTCTCCAAAATAAGTGTTTTGGTAATATTAGCTGTTGACAAAGATCTAAAGTCTTACAATCATTATCTGAACTGATATTAGAAACTAGCTCCTTAATTCGCTTATTTGTGACTGTGTGTTCTTTCTAAAGAGTTGCAATTCCTGGCTTACCTGGAAAAAGAAAAATGCTTGTCCAAACCAATAATGCATGATAGTAACTTGAGCTGCATCAAACTCCAGTGGCTTCCAGATGTAGTTTCTCATCATGGTTTGAATGAATAGGCACAAGACCAAAACTGGTAAGTTATGAGGTCTGAGCAACACAGCTGATAGCAGAACCAGCCCACCGTAGATTTCCCATAAACCTGTAAACTTGATCTTAGTATCCATTGAAAAAAATAAAGATTTGAATAAATCTTTTGTGCCTGTGAAGATGATGCCCAGAACAAAGATGTAAACAAAACGTGCTTCAATTGTGCCCCTAAAAAGAGACAATAAAAAAACATAGTTAAATCAACTTCTGATGGGTTGAAACATTTGTTTTGGGAAATAATTTGCTAAAACACAGAGAAGGCATTAGCTCAAAACAAGTAGTGGGCTTGTGCCATTAGTGATAGTAAAACTGATCATGATCGCATTATGCATCGCAACAAACAGAATTATACAATAATTTAAATGAAACAGAGTGATCAAAGTAGGAAAGTATCTTAAACCAGCACTCTGAAAAGAATGAGATTAACTCCATATATATTTATCTGAAATGAATGCAGTTAAAGCTTATTGTGCTATACTGTAAACTTGGCCAAAAAAATACACAGCACTGTCAAATAAATATGTATGAAATTAGTTTCAGAAAGCTGATCGATAGTTGAAAGCTCTGCTGAATTTCTCTCAGGAATAGGGGAGGGGGGAAGAATTCTGTTAAAAGGTTTAAAAAGTAAAATATGAATCATTCTTAAGCATGCAACAGCAACATCTGCCTTCACAACATTAATGTTCTTTCACATATACTGTATGTATATTCAAAATCCCAATCCAAAAAATAAAACATTATCTATATAATTTGGCATGTGAATACACTTAGGTGGGGAACGGGTGAGGATTTGAACTGGGGATTTGCTGTCCCAAAGCTCAGATTCAGACACTTAGATACTTTAATATTCCCTGAAACAAAGTTTTCTCCCACAGCAAAGAAATGGGTAGACCATTCCCTATATGAAACTGTTGCCATCATAGCTATAGAGTTGTTCCCACTGCAACACAATTTAACACAATTTAATGGTCCACTTGAATGCACATTTATTGAGGAACAATTTCCACTGAACTCCATAGAACTTATTTCCAAATAAATACTTCAGTCAGCTGCAAGGCATCAAGAGCATGAGTACTTATAATCAGAAATCTGAACTAATCTTCTCTGTTACACACAATTTGGGGTTCTTAAAATCCATAAAAATCACATAATCCAAACCATACAGTATTAATAATTAATCCTATCACTTTAAAGATTTAAATAAGCCATTGTTAACAACTGTATTTTGCAGCCCAAGAGTTTCTATCATTCTTTAGAGGGGTTAGACTAAATGATACAATGAGGATCTTAAGCGGTTGCATAAAATCTACTCCTACTTGCTGGTTTCCCGTCTTGAGTCACATTGCACCACCAGCCCTACAAAGGCAGGAAGCCTTAGTGAAGGAGAACAACAACATTATGAGAAACCCATTTCTTCCTGTGCACACTGATCTTCCTCATCTATCAATCGGCAGGCTTAAATCCAGGAAGCCCTCTCTGGCACACACTCAACAGCTGTCTAACAACTTTGACATCAACACACAGTGGAAGGCCAAATGGGCTGCTGAATGCCCAGATACAGGCAGGTACATAGATGACCCTACACAAAAAGTGCCAGGTTTTGACCTTCCTCGCCAGAATTGGTCAACTCTGAACAGGATCTGTACCAGGGGTGAAATGCTCCCGGTTCAGACTGGATCGCCCATCCAGTCCGTAGCGATGGAGGCGGATGGTTCGGAGAACCGGTAGGAAAAATCCCTGCCCCTTCCCCCCCATGCCCAGCTGAGCCGCACAATCATCAGAGGCTTTTTTTTTTAAACTTTTAAAAGCATTTTTTCTACAACCTCTTTGGCCGAAAAAATGCTTTTAAAAGTAAAAAAAAAAAAAAAGCCTCTGATGATCGTGCAGTTCAGCTGGGATCATCAAAGGCTTTTAAAAGCATTTTTTCTACAACCTCTTCAGAAGTTGTAGAAAAAATGCTTTTAAAAGCCTCTGACCATCCCAGCTGACTTGCCTGATCAGCAGAGGCTTTTTTCTTTTAAATGCCTCTGACGATCCAGAGGCATTTAAAAGAAAAAAAGCCTCTGCTAATCAGGCAACTCAGCTGGGATCGTCAGAGGCATTTAAAAGAAAAAAAGCCTCTGCTGATCAGGCAACTCAGCTGGGATCGTCAAAGCCTTTTGAAAGCATTTTTTACAACCTCTTCGCCGACCAAGCCACGCCCACAGAACCAGTAATAACAAATTTTAGATTTCACCACTGATCCATACCCAATATGGCATCTGTCAGGACTCATTGTTTAAGTGGGGTCTTGTCTCTACCCCTCAGTGTGACGTGGTGCTCCTCGACTAAATATCCATCACACTGTGTCCAAATGTCCATCAAGAGCTTACACCGGCCCAATGTCTGATTTTTTCAACATAAACCACCCTGTCCTTGAATGGCTGGATGGACTAGATATTAACATTTTTTTTTTGCTTTAATTTATATGCCGCCCTTCTCCGGAGACTCAGGGCGGCTTACAATGCGTTAAGCAATAGCCTTCATACTTTTGTATATTTATACAAAGTCAGCTTATTGCCCCCACAATCTGGGTCCTCATTTTACCTACCTTAGAAAGGATGGAAGGCTGAGTCAACCTTGAGCCTGGTGAGATTTGAACTTGCAGTAATTGCAAGCAGCAGATGTTAATAACAGTGCTTTAGTCCACTGTGGTACAGGCTCTTTTTGAACTACTATAAATCCATGTATTTGCCATATGCTAAATAAATAAATACATTCTTCAGAGGTAAACCCCCAGTATGTGAAATAGTGTAACATCATCATCCAAGTATCTTTAACTACAAGTAACTGACTGAAGCCATTGGAGATGCGAATATATAAGTAAAAAATATTTTACATCTGAGGTGCCCAGTTTATTCATGTGTGCTATTATCTTCCCAATAACGAGCAGAAAGATCTTCATTTCCCACATTCAACAATTTTTTCTGATCAGCCCTTTCTACAAGAGTATGGCTGTATAAGTCAATCAAAAATTGCAGTAGATTCCTTCAAACACCTCAAAAGGGGTCAAAAGAACTTAAAATAAAAGGAGAATGTGGTAGACTAATTCCCCCTATTCACTGGCCTTTGAGCAGAATGGGGGATTTGCATGCAACAAGGATGCATCAAAGACTTGAGTTGGAGACCTCAATCTTGAATGAAAGAACAACATAATATGCACAATTGACTGCTCCCAAAATCTTGGCAAGAAATATTAGGAACTCCAAAACAAAACAAAAAAACCCCAAACCTACTAAGTTCTTAAATAGCAAGTTTAAATGTTCTGGAAAATCCTAAGAGCAACTACACTTTCTTCTCTGCTGTATCTTCCCTACCATGATAAGAAAAGCAAGATAGAAATTGAGATTTATATGTTTACAATTTAAAGTCTTTTACTTGTATGTCACTAAATGCATATACTCCATTATTCCCTCAATTTATGTGAACATTCCTCTTGTGATAATTAACTTCCTACCTATCCATCACTTAAGCATCAATGATGTGATGGACATGTGTGAAACTGCAACCCAGAGACATGAAGAGTCTAAAATGGGTGGCGATATAAATCTTTTAAATAAATGAGTAAATCAAAATAAATGGCTGTTTTTACCTCCAAATGTTTCTCTGTTACCAGCTTACATTCTCTGTGCTGTTTTTCATCATTGTGTTCTTTTTTCTTAAATTAGTGGTTTTATACTCTCCTGTATCGATGTTTTAATGGATGCCACTAATCAGGAATAGTGTAACACTAGATTTTCTGCATTGAAGTTAATTCAGTGAAGAATTTAAAGACAGAATCGCTGCAAGAAAAATAGTCTTGGCCAAATCCATCCAACATCAATCATCACTTAAAAGCAGATCTCCAATTCGCTATTTTTTTTTCTTTTCATGCACAACCCTCATAAAATAATTAACTGCCCTAAATCTCATCAGCTTCAAACTGACACTCTGCCTAGAGATCACCATAATTGCTTATGGCATAAACTCTTATTGGATTAGAGTCGCCTTCATTAAATGCAAGGAACAGACTCTAGTAAATCTTAATGACTTAATCTCAGATGCTGGTAAAACTTTAAATCATTATCATCACCATTATCCTCATCATCTTCATCATATCACCATCAATTTCCTTTCCTTACCTACATCTTTACCTTAATCCAGCTCATTTAAACAGCACGATTGGAATTTCATTTCAGAATTCTGAGCTGGGGGGATGGAAAATAAAACTCTATACATCTACTGCTGCAGCCCAAATTATATGATTGTTACACAAGGGGAATGGAGATATTTATTAACAGTTGCAGTCTATGTCCATATGTGTCCCAAGTACAAATTTACTCATTAAGTACATCGCTAAAGAATCTTGCAGTGAAGCCATATGTTACAAGAAAAATGTTATAACCTGAAAGTTAACAGATTTGTTACAGGCCAATAGTGGCCTATACAAGAATTGACACCACGAGTTTTCTAATCTTGGCTTCTCTTCAAACACCAACCTAGTTGCCAAAGATAATTAATAATCCTCTGAATAGAACACAGTGACCCAACAATATGTTTTTTTTTTATCCTGACTGGTGGTGATTTTCTAAGATCATCAGGAAATGTCTTAAATATCTCAACAGTTTGAAATGTATGTATATGTATTTTTAAGAAGAAAACATAAAAACTACCCCTTAATCGAAGAACAGCAATTTAAATGACTCAAAATATTCAGAAACTAGAAGTGGGATGTTTTTTGAGATTTTATATGTTCCATGGCAATATCTGGGATGAGACCTCTGATCCTACATGAACTTGTTGGAAGAAATATCCTTCTGGGTTCTGCTCCAAGTGGGGAAAAAGACTGGAAACATGGAGGCTGCTTGGAAAGATGGTTTAATGGTGGACAGGATCACATGGCTTGAGTTCCTGAACAGAAAAGGGAGGAATACAGCAAGCCCACGGGTTTTTATGCTCTTTCTGGCTTTGCATTTCTTGGGGCCCCGAAAGAGTATCCTGATTGGTTGTCAGACTCCCAGGGGGTGGGGGTCTTAGTTAGCCTTGCTGGCTGATGGTCACATGTGCTTCCCAGGTCACATGCTTCCCAGGTCACATGTGGTGAGTTTCTGCTGCTATTGTGTAGAGGGCTAATCCTATCTTTGTTGGATCTTTGGCAATTCCTACTATGACTCTGCCTGAAGGAGGTAGATCTTTGTTATGTAGAATAGACTGGCCCAGGCCTTAATGGCCCATTGACAAAGGGTGGGGGCAGGAAGATGGGAGCTGCTTCAAAACATGCTTATCCATTTCTCATCCAGGGAAATATAATATTCTGCCTTTTTAATATTTCCCAAAATATTTCACTCTTCCAGGAAAGGGGTGGGTGCTAACTTCCTACAAACTGTACTATAGAAATCGATGTGTATAATATACAGCTGTCAGATGGTTAGACACCTGGAAGCCTCTTGCAGGCCACATCTTTCAAAAGTGTAGAGTGACAGTAATTTTCCACGCTTTCTTGGTAAGTGCTGCTTACAATGCATTTACAATGCAGCAGGTCCACTGATGAACAGACATCATTAAAAATTATGAACAAGTCACATACACAGTGCACATCTCACATTCTTTCTGTACAACCTCCCATTTGGGCCACAGGCACTGGAGCAAAACTATGCCAGCTTTGCATATCAAGCAAGGATTAGAAAGAAAAAGATTTGCTATTTGAATTTCATTACAGTACTTTACAAAGCACAGGCTGAGAAAAGTATTATTCAGCTGGCGCCATAAATCAAGCAACCATAAATTACAATTTCAGGATAAATATCTACTCTATTTTTATTCTAAAAAGGTACTAGGAATCTAACCCATTGCTATGCTCAAGAACACTTCCAGCCTGAAATCACAAATAGCAATTGCTTTGATGAACTTTAAGAAGGCATATTATTGTGTCAGCCCAGAAACCTTAAACTATGTGCGTCTATGAATTACTATACAGGCAATGGAAATATTATGCTAGCAGTTATTAAGGACGAAAGAGTCATATTGAGAGATGCTTTTATAAATATCAACAGATATTTAATTCCCGCCAATCATTTCTTACAGAACAGTTAGCTGTAAACTCATGAAAACTTTAGGAAAATGTTTTCCCAAACTTTTTTTCCCAGGTATATCTACCATTGCCCTCTAACATTTAATTAGTTGCCTATAACAAACAACAAATAATCTGTGGGTATTTATGCATGTTTAAAGGCAAAATTCTCTACTGTTTCTCAACTTTTTTTCGCCTGGGTCCCCTTCTGACCTTGTTTTTCTCCTGTGGGACCCCTGTCCAGGTTACTGGATATGAACATGGGACAGGAATTGTGTTTTGGGGCATCCACGGGACAGTATTTGCAATATAATAGAACTGGTGCTGTAGAACCTGAGGACAAATGATAGAGAAATGTTGCTGACTTGATCGCATAAGTTCTCAAAAATATTTGGCCACTGGTGGGAACAGCATGCTTGAATTGATCCATAAGGTCCATCGCAATTTTAGCTGCTTAAATGCAGCATTCCCTGTCTTCTATCCTGCCCATTTTGATCTATGATTGAATGAGGGAAGAATGATAACAGATTTTTTTTGGTATTGTTAATTTATTTATTTGTTATAATAATTCATAGTGCAATTTTGTAGTGTTGTTTGGATTGGAGGGGTTATAATAGGAAAATGAAGTAAAGTAGAAGTGGAGAATTTGTATCTTAGAGCTGAACTGGAATGGGATGATCTCGCTAAGGTAACTTATGCTCTTGTCATATCAGGCACAAACAACCTGACCCATAGGTGAATAGTTTTTTTTCTCACCCAAGGGAATTTAAGACGCAGCACTTATGGTATAAAACCTACCCCTTACAATGTTCCCCCCACATTCTCCTTGGAAATAGAATCTAAAAAATTCTGCCATGTCCACTCTGGGGATGTTTGATCTCTATCCAGGTCCTCTGCAGCCCACAGGATTGACGCAACAAAAAGTGTATTGGTAGCCAAGAAAGAAAAGGCTTCATATTTGGTTTTGTGAGCCACCCAGAGGCAGCATCTAAATCCATTAAGTGAATATATAATTGCAGCAGCATAAGAAATCTCTCTGGCTTGCCTAAAATAAACTGCTAAAATGAGGAAAAACCTGAGTTACCAGGAACAGAAGGACTGTTCTATTGCAATATGCAAAACAAATTCCTAAGATCAAAACTCTCTAATTTTAAGCGCGTGTCTTTTGCATTGACACCTCATCGGCAGATTCCAGGGTTCTTGTCAAAACAGTGTAAACCCCTCAAACCTAAAATCTGCCCACAACTCTTAGAAAACACGTGCACAAACCCACATAGTACTTATTTGTGATATTTCTTTTAGACCTCAAGGTGTTAAGTACATTTACATAGCTGCTAATGAACTTACTTTGAAATATCTTTTCTGTCTCGTTGCCATGGAAATTCCACATTTCCTATCGCTGCCCGGTAACTGTACACTCCCAAGAGTCCAAGTGCCATTGCTATTTTCGAAACCAAAGAACAACTTTGATGAACAAGTATAAAGATCATAAGTAGAGACACTGATGCCAGAAGAGAAAGTTCAGTTTTATGTTCGGAGCTGTAAAACCAACAACAAATTCAATTAGATTTTTTAAAAATAAGATTCACTTACAAGTTCTTTTTTCTTTCTCTTTCTTAACAAGCTTCACTTCATTCATCAATCAATCAGAAAACCAACAGTCTTTTCTCAACACAAAACTCTTTGTAAACTCTTTATGTAGTATATATTCTGCACCAAAATATCAGACATTTTACAATCTTACACATGGCATCAAATAATTTTCTCTGTTACCACTCTAGAGCCTTGATATCCTTCCTAAAGACCTTTGACTGAATGGTGCGAAGATTTCATTTCATTTTCTTTTTGCAGGAGGTCTTTCAAGCTTCTCATTTTCACTGAGCATTTTCCATATTGCTTTTGACTGTCAGAAGCCTACAGAGTCCATAATTAGAATATTTCCTTTCAAAAGAATTGGGATCCATGTCTTTCAGGAAAAGCCTTCTCCATCCATCCATTTGCTCATATAATAAAATTGGCTTTGGGAGCCACCTTCATTAAAGTTAATCAGATTATCATCTGATTAACAGGAAGCTGTACAGGAAGCTGTACAAGTGTGGCCTGTGGGCCACACTTGTTGAATTCTCCCAGGTATATGCAGTGCTCTTTTAAGTGCTAGGCAGAGCTTAAATAAATTTGAAGTCACTGATATACCTTTCTATATCACTGCGTGGTGGCACAGTGGTTAGAATGCAGTACTGCAAGGCTAGCTCACTGCTCACTACAAGAGTTCAATTCTGAGCGCCTCAAGGTTGGCTCAGCCTTCCATCAGGGGTGGGCTGCTGAGGGTTTGCAGGGGTTCGGGAGAACCTCTAGCTAAGTTTCTGTGCAGTTCAGAGAACCGCCAAATCCCACTTCTGGCTGGCCCCGCCCATCCCAGGAGTCCCCACACGGCATTTTGGATGCAGATAAATGCAGGGCGTGCACAGAGGCTCGGGGAGGGCGAAAAATGGGCCTACCGGAAGATCGGGAGGCAGGAAAAGGAGTCTGGGGAAGCTGTTTTTGCCCTCCCGGAGGCTCAAACAAAGCCTCCGGAGCCCGGGCAGGGGGAAAACGCCCCCCCCCCCCCCCCCCCGTGCATGAGGCCGACTAGGCCACGCTCACCATGGCTATGCCCACCCAGCAACCGGGCAGAGAACCCCTTGCTAAAATTTTTGAAGCCCACCCCTGCCTTCCATCCTTCCGAAGTCAATAAAATGAGGAACCAGATTGTTGGGGGTGGCAATATGCTGACTCTGTAAACTGTTTAGAGCACTGTGAAGCGGTATATAAGTCTAAGTGCTATTGCTATTTCTGCAAGCAAATCTGATTGTCTCTATTAGTTACACTTGTTATAATAATCACTTTTATAATTCTGGGGGGGGGGAAATGCAGACATTTTCCCATTCTGGAAAAAATATTAAAGAGAAAATTGGCATAAAAATCTTTTAGCCTAAGTAGATTAGTAATATGGAATCAATTACATTGTGTAAAGGATTATGGGGCATATTGTAGGATGCACAATGCCCAGACTTATGATACTATACCACTATGGTCTAGTAAAATACCTAAAAGTGTGGTTGCAGTTTCAGGTGGGTGAAGAAGGTTCATAAATGGCAGGGAAATTGTCTTTCAAGAAATTTTCCCCACCATTCTCAATCTCACTGAGGAATTCCTGGCAAAGGGAAAATGCTATACCCCTGCATTCTAAGGTAACTGTTGATATGAAAGAGCACTATAGAAATAATTTCCCTAAAAACCTTAGATGAAAATTTAGTGTAAAAAGGGGGAATATCCTTCTATCTATAAAACGGGATTTTCTACTGATCCCTGATATATACTGGGACCAGAAAAAGGGGGTCCAGTAGTACTTTCCTTGGCAGACCTTGTCAGAAAATTTAGTAGGTATTTTAATAGAACCATTCTCCTGAAACCATAGCATCAATCTTCTCTTCAACGTGGCAATCATATCATGCAATTTCCTGCTTCTCAGAAAAACATTGATTACTTTCTTAACAAGCCTAAACCTGATACGTTAACACAAACCTGTATTTTTCAGGATTCCATATATAACACAACCAGGCACAAGCTTAACACTGTCTCAGCTTCCAGAAAAATCTCACATTTAACCTTTTTTTTTGGGGGGGGGGGGGTCTTTTTTTTTTTTTTTTAATGCCTTTCAAGGCATTATAATTGCCAAAATGTGTGATCAATATCTGCCAAAATCTAGGAAGACAGTTTCAGCTCCTGGCTCCTTTCAATAAGCATCAGCAGTGCAAATAAAGCAAAACAATGCAAAAGGATTCTTTAAAAGGCAGTTTATAAAAAGCAACATAATTTTGCTTTTTGCGTCATAGCAGTTGAGTTGCCTTGGTGCTTGGTTCCCGTTTTATTTTTAGCACAGAGCACACACAGTTTTGAGTCATGGGGGTTCTAGCAATACCTCTCCCTTTCTCGCCACAGACACACAAACACACACACACACATACACAACAAGGCCCACAGGAAACACAGACTTATCTAACCCATTGGTGGGTTTCCACACATGGCTAGCAGCATCCTCAAGTTAGTAAATCACGTTTGCTCTAAAAAGCACATTGTGCCACCAGAACAACGTGCAGCTGAAACATTCTGGTTAAGGAGCTGGAATCTTATGTCACACTCGAATATCCCTGCAGCTTCCCTCTGTGGTGAAAAGACACATAATCAGGTAGAAAAGGAAGCTTTAGCAAGATGCAAAGATTCATTAGTTCACGTTATCGGGCTAGGAAATTAAAAAGTTTTAACTGATCCTGAGCCAAACCCCAATTCATCTACTTCTCCTCCACGGAGGTTCTTTTAGGACCTGCTGGTAGATAGAAATAGTAGGAAAAAAGAGGGAGAGGCCAGAATAATCTTATACATTGAGTAAGAAAGCAACTGCTTCTTGGGTTAAGCTTCCCTTCCAAAAGAAAAAATTGCTTGCATTTCAGCCTCAGAACAAGTGAAACAGTGTACTAGCCAATCCCTATGGTGCTGGGGGTGATGGGTTTGGGTGATGGGTATTTTAGTCTGACCCATATCTAGAAGGCATTCAGTTGGGGAAAGCCAAATTCATTTTAAGTCATTGCTCAGCTGGATGGTTATCATCCTCTACTGGTGATTCTTTTCCTCCTTCCTTCAAATGCTAATAACCCAAAACACAGTGCAAGGAAGCAGACAGGGAGGGGGGGAAAAAACCAGATGCAATATTCATACGTGCAAATTTTGTTCAAGATTTTCAGGCTAAAGCAGAATATGCCAAATAAATAAATAAATCCTATTTTTTATTTAAGAAACAAGGGAAGGAATATACCAAAGCACAGTATAATTAATACACGTTGCAAATACTTTTTTAAAAAACCCTTTTAACCAGAGAATTAAGAACTCTGCTAGCCAGATCTTGTAGTTAAAATTACTAAAAGTTTAAAGTCGTGCTTTCTCTTCCCTCTTATTTGAAAGATTTCTATAGTTTGCTATAGGAACTGATTTTTTTGTTAAATGATTATAATGTATCATGGATGGATGGAGGATGGATGGATGGATAATTATAGATATAGATATTGCCTGATATTCATAGATGATTGATAGCTATAGGAACTACTGATTTTTTTTGTTAAAACATAATATATCATTGATAGATTCATAGATAGATGATAGATAGATGATAGATAGATAGATAGATAGATAGATAGATAGATAGATAGATAGATAGATAGACAGACAGACAGATATTGATTGGTATTCATAGATGATTGATAGCTATAGAAACTACTGATTTTTTTAAAAAAATCATTATAATATATCATGGACGGATGGACGGACAAGCAGACAGACACTTTGCTGCTGAAACCTAAAGACATGGATGAATTCTGATGTTGGACAGAAACCTGCCTAACCTCTGGTGAAATGAGAGTCCATAACTAAAGCAGCACAACTAAGAAAGCCCTTTCCTACATCACTTCACTAGTGAGATATACAGAAAAAATCCCCTCAGTATATCTCATTTATCAAATGTATATGGTCCCCCACCTCACAAAAAAGAGACTCTGGGCCACATACAAGAAGGCTAAAACTCAATTAATATCTACTATATATAAAACACAATTATTATTAAAAGCATTTTAAAATGTTTAAAAACGCAAGGGTAAAAGAGATCAAATATTAGGCAAGGAGCAGATGTCTATAGCAAGGGAGCCTCTTCAGTATCTCACCAGTCCTCTGAGGTCCCCAGGTCTGATGGGACCATCGTTTTTTCAGGGACTGTGTACTTATGTAATAACCTTACACAATCTAAATAACAAAAAATCAAATAGGTACCTTGTCAGCCAATGTCCAAAATCTGGCCTATGGGCCCACTGGACTCCAGTTTGATTCAGTGAACGAAGCACTCTACAAATGATAAGGATGAGCCACGGAGTCGCTAAGGCCATCCACTTCTCAAAGGTATTCACGCTTACAGGGTTGTCCCCTCTACCCATCTTCAGCTCATCCTCTGTTATTTCAATATCACTTCTGTAGTGGGAAGGAGTTTCTTTCATTTCTTCTGCTTTTGCTTTGCCCGTGGTGGGGATCTGCAGATCACCGTCCTTGGTCAAGAAATAGTGCCTGCAGATTTTTTGGCAGAGGGCAAGGCAAAGGGTATTGATCAGGAAGTACCAGGTTTGGTGTTCTTCTTCAATAAAGCTGCTGGCACCCAGACTTGAAATATGGCCAATGGTACCTGCCAGGATCAGCACATCTAATTCAGACCAGCTGGAAGGAGCAGCAGGTGGATTCTGCAAAGAGAGAAATATATATGTATATATATATATATATATCTTGGGGATATAATTTGGAAGAATCCAACATATCATTAAAATCAGCCGCGTATAGTTGCTTCTTCAGTGACAACTGTATTTTTGTGGTATTTTATGTAACTCCTCTTCAATCCTGATCTAAAGCAAGGTTAATTCAGCACTGCTGTCAACACTGTTAATTGTGCCACTGAAACTACAGTACGTTCTCTTTCAAGGGCTGTGATGCAGCTTCCTGCAATGACTTAAGAAACATTTTTAAGATTAATTTTATATCATGATAACAAACAAATCACATGAAAATGAGAAAACGTTTAGCAAAATAGATAAGTCAGGATCTCTTCTTGCCTGTCCACTTTCCAACATATTTGAAAGTTTGAAGAAAAAATTACATCACTCCCATGGAGGGATGGGTACACTGCTGAAATTGAGTAACAAAGTGGACATTCCAAAGGTGCTTTTCCAAAGGTGCTTTTCCAAAAGGCAACTGGACTATCTTGGTTTTTTTTTCTTTTCTTTGCATATGTTTCACTTCTCATCTAAGAAGCTTCTTCAGCTGTGAAGAACCGAAGAAGCTTCTTGGATGGGAAGCGAAACATTTTCAAGGAAAAAGATAAGAAAATCCAATTGCCTTTTGGAAAAGCACCTTTGGGACAATAATGACCTGGATCATTGAGAATCTCCATAGAAAACAGAAGTGGACATTTTTTAATGACACATTTCTTGTTTGTGGTTGGATGTTTTTTGTTTTTTTTTTTAAATTTGATTTATATGCCGCCCTTCTCCGGAGACTCAGGGTGGCTTACACTGTGTTCAGCAATAGCCTTCATCCTTTTGTATATTTATACAAAGTCAGCTTATTGCCCCCACAACTGGGTCTTCAATTTACCTGCCTTAGAAAGGATGGAAGGCTGAGTCAACCTTGAGCCTTGGCGAGATTCGAACCTGCAGTAATTGCAGGCAGCTGGTCTTAATAACCAGCTTAATAACAGGGTGCCTTAGACCACTGTACTACCAAGGCTCTTGGATGTTTGGGGATATCTTAAGGCTGAAAGCAAAATATTTCCATTTGGGGACTTAACCTCAAGTCCCCAAAATGAGCAAAACAATAGGCTAAAAATTCTCAGCCTCTTCCAATGCCATTAGCATATCCCTGGAAAGCTAGGACAATAAACTGCAACTCCCACCTCAGAAGAAGTTGATCACCTTGACGTAGATTAACAGCAATCATAAAAAGAATGGTGATATGCAGGTTATTATCTTGCCCCTCCCGAAAGTGGGGCTTTATTTTAAACAAAAGTGTTGTGCAAGGTTGCCGCAAGAAATATACATTTTATATGCTAATCACTCTAGAGCATTGAACACACAGATAATTTAAAGAAAGCTAACCCCTTCAAAAAATCCTTGGCGCACCATCTTCTACAAATTGAAATACACTTTGTTGCACAAAAAACATGACGACTCAGGTAAAAGGCAATCAAGTAAAGGAAAAATGCAATCAAGTAAGTTACAAGCAATGGCATCTGTAGAATAATATGTTTCAAAATGTAAAGATAATCAGAAACGATCCGGAAAGAGTATTTTGTCAATTCAAACATCAGCATTATTCCACAGAAAATCAGGCAGCTCATTTCACGAAGATTTAATTATATCAAAGCACCTTGATGTAGATATTGAAAATAGGAGGTTTGGAGGATAAACCAATCAGGTGCTACTCACCAGAGGTGGGATTCAAATAATTTAACAACCAGTTAATGACTGGTTGGGTGGGCGTGGCCATGGCCAGGGGATGTGACAGGCAGCACTTGGCCTCCTGCACCCCCGGGGCAAAAACAGGCCATGGGGGGGCACCACCACCCCCTGAGCCCCGTTTTGGGCCTAGTAGGCCTCCCTGCAGCCTCCTGGGAGCAACTGGAGTGGCTAAAGTAGCATAGGATGAGACAGGATGGAAATAAAGAGAAAGCTTTTAAGGCAGGTCAAATTTTTCAACTTTCAACTTCCAAGTATTAGGGGTGCTCAAAAGTTGCAGCATGTCTTGGGGATTGTAAATATATTTTGGTTACCGTATTTTCTGGCGTATAAGACGACTGGGCGTATAAGACGACCCCCGACTTTTCCTGTTAAAATATAGGGTTTGGGCTATACTCACCGTATAAGACTACCCCTCTTCCAAAGCACACCAAATAAAAATTAAAAAACATCAACTGGCTCACAATGTTAAAGCAGATGTGCTAGACCCAAAATGGCCCCTGCAACAAGCAGGAACCTCACACAGCCACAAAAAGCCCCAAAAAACAACTTTCACACTTTACACACACAAAATTTCACATACAGCTTTGTGAGATTTTGTGTGTTTGTGTAGTTAGAGTGAAACACTACAGAAACACACTAAATCTCAGAAAACTGCACAAATATTATTTTATTTTTATTTTTATATGAAAACTAAATTTAAAACTTCCTAAACTTTAAATGGCTAGGTCTAAAAAAGAACAACTAAAAAAAACCCCAATTAACTATTTTTTTTAAAGCTCCCAAAGGGGAAAAAAACTTACCCAATAGAACAGGGGTCTCCAACCTTGGCAACTTTAAGACTTGTAGACTTCAACTCCCAGAATTCCTCAGCCAGCTTTGTTTTGCTGGCTGAGGAATTCTGGGAGTTGAAATCCACAACTTCTGCCTGCTTGATTGCAGGCAGGGAGTGGCTTGCTAATGGAATAGATTCAGGCAAGCGAAGCAAGGCAAGCGTTGCGATTAGCAGCTAAGGTAAGCAAGCTGGAGGGGGAAAACTTTTTTCCTTTTACATGGCTCTGGCATCCCAGCTGAGTTGCCTGATTAGCAGGCAAAGCTGGAATCGTCAGAGCTTGGATCGCCAGAGCCATTTAAGGCTCGTCCGAGTCTTTCGGGCTGGTCTGCCTGGTTACAGGAGAACGACACCCGGCGTATAAGACGACCCCGACTTTTGAGAAGATTTTCATGTGTTAAAAAGTCGTCTTATATGCCGGAAAATACGGTACTTTAATATAATTTAGATGTGCTTGGTAAGTAACTACATAAATATAACTTTTTAACATTTTGTTTGCTTTATTTATACAGGTTACATGTGAGACAGAAAACAAGTTCCTTATCAAACAACAATTGTATGGCGTCAAAAGCTCCTTGTTTTTGTTTGTTGAGACTTTCTAAGATAGCTGGAAACCTATGGATTGGTTCAGCAATCACACACTCAGTTGTGCCTTTAACATTGTTTGTTTCCAAAATATCTTCTTTGAGAGCTCTAATGAGGTATCTGAGATGCAGGAATGCTTTGATCCTCATCTTAAGTCCTGATGTCAAACTCAAGCTCATTAATTCTTTTGTACCATGTTTGTCCTACGCAGAATCCACAATAGCACTTCTGTCAGATTGTGACACATACAGTATCACATTAGCGGAAGGACGTGTGAAGGTGCCTCTAATTTTGTGCGTAAAGTTGTTAAGCCTATGATAATGCTGTTGATGTAAATGTGAGGGTAGCATAGACATCTTGGTTTGGTTCCCATGTTAGAATCATTGTCTGTTGTTGCTTGTGAGAATCTGCTTCAAGTTGAGTGGTAGTCTGTGTTAAAGTATTGGGCTGCCACCTACCTAAGAAAGCAGTGTGTCTTTATCTAATATGGGCTGTAGCTTCTTCATAATGTATTTTGTGACCTGTGGTCTATAAGTGACTATCAATGGTATTCTTTTGTTCTGTTTCTATGATCTGTCTTTTAATAGACAATTTCCACCTCTCTGGAAAGTGATCTAGCTCTGCTTATTTTCTATTGATATCGTGAATTGGCAATTTAGATTCCTGAATTCCATCAGTTGATCATCTGTGTTAAGTGAGATAGAACAAATGCATTTGTAGCCTAGAGCCTACCTATATATATGGCAGATTTGATATATCTGGATGGAAGTTGGAAGCATGTAGGTAAGCATGGTGATCTGGAGGTGGTGTGGCCTCAGAGCTACCCTCCAAGATGCTGGTGGATCATGTCCCACTGGTACTACACCTGATGATTCAACAGCCGCTGAATCCAATACCGATATCTGCTCAGGCCAACACTGGTGCCAACAAGCAGGGAAAACATCCCTGGACTAAGAATCGTACACTTCAGCAAAGTAAGCGCCTCACAATCAAGTGGCAAGATGCTGACTCTACAAGCAAAAGCAATGTCTCATTATTATCAACTGCTGAGTAGGGAAATGCTCTCATACGATTCATTTCCTTGGGTCCAGATGCTAACAGTGTCATCAATGAATCCCAGATAATGGAGTATTTTCAACGGCTAGGAGTTGAGAAAATGTTTTAAGTGACTCATGAAGATACTTGCATATTTATGGAACCACTTGTGTATCCATAGCAGTGCCACTGATTTGCAGGTGTGTTATTGCCAGCAGTGACTAAATTATGGATGAATACAAAGTCATGCAGTTTGTGACAAGGCCTGTTACACTGAAATTACTGATGGTATCTGGATGGCTTGAAGCCCACGTCTATGAAGGATGGGGGTATATTATGCCATAACATCTGTGATGGGTAGAATGGTATTGTTAAGAAGATTGCCAATAGATTTCAAACTTCTTAGGAAGCCTGTGGTGTCTCTTATGCAGCTGACAGCAAATTTTCAATATTGTATAGAATTCATGAAACCCAATATTCCAAGCCATAATGATTCCACTGCTTAGGATTGGGAATGGAATCGCATGTATGGCATAGCTTGTATATCTTGGGAAGTAGGTACAAGATACTTAGATGCTCCAGGGGTGTCTCCATGTAGATATGGTCTTCTATCACTGTTCACTGCAGTATTACTGTAGCTATGTCCAACCTATCAATTCTATTGTTATATACACCCACAAGTATCTAGAAGAAACCAGTTCATAATTTCTAATATATATCAATGCAAGTTTGTTTGCTCATTGCTTGTCAATGAACTTTTGAGGGATCTGTCAGAGAAACA